TAGAATCTTCCCTCTCTTCCTGTTTTCTCTCTCTTTGATCTCAGTCCATTTGGGTCCAGTCTGTTTTCCATTGCTTTTTTGATTACCTTTCTTTCTGAGTTTCATCCCAAATCCTGAAGCTTTGCAGTTGTGCTTGTCTTGGTGACTCCAGTGACACTTTCTCTGAACAGACGAGCCTCATATTTCACTTTACACATGGTTAGTTTTGCCATAAATCATTTGAAAAGAAAAACATGTCAAATCTAATATTAAACCGAGGTGCTCTATCGCTTTCACATTGTGCTTTTTTTTTCTCCTCCAGTCCATTTCTTACCGTTTATTATACTCATGTTCATGTGGGATTCTGGGATATTTAGCCGTCATTTTACACATTTGTGTGCATGTGTGTGTGTGCGTGCGTGCGTGTGCGTGTGTGTGTGTGTGTGTGTGTGTGTGTGTGTGTGTGTTCTAGGGAACTGGGCTGTCAGTTTCCTGCTGGAGGCTTATAGAAACCTGTCAGCTGGATTTGGGAAAGACTAAGTTTGCTTAAACTCTTAAGAGGGAGAAAATACGTGGGAGTTTTTGGAAAAAGAAAAAGAGTGTGGATGTGTTGAGTGCAAAGAGGGAATGTAAAAACGTGTATTTGTGTGTCCATGTATGGCAGTCTGAAGTGTTCCTGGATGCTGTGCCGGTTCTGTGGTTTGCCAGGGTGTTGAAATGGGATAGAGAGAGATGGTCCGGGGCAAGCAGGTGAGAGGAAATGGGGAATAGCACCCTTTCTGTCTGAAACGTTTGACTGAAATAACAGCCCCCCCCCCCTCCTTTAATGACCACTGGGCACTAGTTAACCTCTGCCCTCTGTAATTGAGCTGTAAGAATGTGATCTCACCGCCTCAACGGATGTACAGTTTGGCTTATTTGTGCGTGTTTAAGAGCACGGCTGAACCCTGACTGGAGTTGCTTTCTCCAAATAAACCCGTAGACAGACATTTTCCTTGGCCGGCCTGCTTCACAAATCTTTGCCGTGATTGCCAGCTTAGACTATGGAGGCCGAAGTGTCTGCGCTTTATTGCTTTTTAGCTCCACTAAAACGGTTCAGATATTGAAGGTGTGTTCAAATCATTTGGCGTGGAAGCAAGGTCACCTATTAGGAACAGGGTGACGGAGGTTTTACAAACTTGGCGAGCCGAAACGGCCTCTCCTTCCAGATGTGTGTGTGTGTGTGTGTGTGGATGTGGGCTGTCGCTGGCTGTGGTCTTTTTCTTTTGCTCTCAGGGTTAGTGTTGGGAGTCGTACACTCTGCAGCAATGCACTGTTCATCCTGGCCAAGTGCTTGTCAGATTTCCCACTCCTTGGGAAGTACTTTGTTTGTTTGGTATGGAGAGAAGTACAAGATGAAAACTGGCCGTGTCTGAAAGGCCTCAAGGGGATTCCAGCATGCACACATGAAAATACACTCCTGCTATCTTGGAGAGCTTTGGTGATTAAAACAACAAACCTATAAAGTCGACGTGAAATCAGGAAGTATCCTGTTTACCATCTTAATACACATTCCTGAGATAGTTGACTCAAAAACAAAAACAAAAAGTAGTGTTTAAAACCTGCATGAGTGACTTTTTGTTGAACATCAAATGAGTTCAATGAATATTGACTTGAATTAATTCAACATGGGGCATGGTGGTTCACTTTTTACACTTGTTTAATGCACCTAGTTGAAAAAAAAACCCCAGCAAACGCAGGATAGGTATGTTTTGAATCATGACTGCTGGTCTGAGCTGGTTATTTGCTGGTCATGATCTGGTTTAAGCTGGTCATGTGCTGGTCCTGAGCAGGAGCTAGAGGCTTAAACTATAGCTCAAACCAACACTCATGCTTTAAAACAGACCTAACCAGCATATGCTGTTTTTCTCTCAACAGAGTAACTTACTGGTTAACAGCAATAGCAGCAAATACTAAAATATTTAATCTGGAAAGAAACATTTCCAGCATGTTGAGATTCTCTCAAGAGTGAATTTGACCTCTACAGACCAAAAGATTTCTCAAAAGTGCGTGCAATACACAGCAACTTTGCAATCAGTTCTGGCTCCATTTGGCTTTAGAGGACCGCTTTTCACAATCCAGTTGAATCCCAGTCAATGAAATCAAGTCTCATGCTTTTTTTTTTATCTGTTCCATCTCAGAAAAAAAAAATCAATATATATATATATATATATATATATATATATATATATATATATAGGGGTGTCAAAATTAATTGTTTCTTCGGTGCACCGCGATGCAGACGCGGACAATTCGGTATCGATTCAGTAATAATCATAACCGGTTATTATGTCGTGACGTCATTTATCTCCTATGCGCTCTGTCGCGAGGGAGGTGAGTGCCGTTATTTACAACACTCAGCCAACTCAGGGCCGGCCCGTGGCATAGGCACCATAGGCAAATGCTTAGGGCGCTGTATATCCAGTGGGGCGCCAGAAATGAGCGCGCTTCAGTTGGTTTTGTTTTCGATTTTCCTGACACACATTCAGTTATAGACGGCAATAACTCAAAAAACGCTTACCCTAAAAGGATCTAAAGTGTGTTTCCTACAGAAAGACAAAGCTGGTTATGTTTCACAGCTGTCTTTCTTTTTTTCGCTCGACATTACGAGCACTGCTCCGTTTTAGCCCTCGCAGTCTGCGTTTATTATAGTCGGCAGAGCTCGCGCTGAGAGGAGTTCTCTGTAAGGGACCGTCGGAAAAGTGCTTATTTTTTTCGTTTTTCTGCTCCGCTCAGCGCGAGCTCTCCCTATTGCAAGTGCTTAAGTGTGTTTGTTTGTGTGTGTGTGTGCGTGTATGTGTTTGTTTGTTTGATGCTGTCTATGTTTGTGAATGTGTTTGAATGAGAGACAGTGTGTTGCTGTGTGTCTGTGTGTTTATACAGACAGCTTGTTATAGCCTCCCCCCTAAAATATAACACTATATGGAAAGCATCGTCAATGCACCGTGATGCACCGAGATATCGAATTGAACCGAGCCGTAACCGTGAGACCAGTATAGGTTCGCACCTCTATATATATATGTCATAAGGGGTGACATGGCGGCTCAGTGGTTAGCACTGTCGCCTCACAGCAAGATGGTTGCTGGTTTGAGCAAGTTAAGTTGGCAAGTTAAGTTGGCATTTCTGTGTGGAGTTTGCATGTTCTCTCCGTGTTCCTGTGGGTGTCCTCCGGGTGCTCCGGTTTTCTTCACAGTCCAAAGACATGCGCTATAGGTTAATTGAATAAGCTAAAATTGTCCGTAGTGGGTTTATGGATGTTTCCCAGTACTGGGTTGCAGCTGGAAGGGCATCCACTGTGTAAATCATATGCTGGATAAGTTGGCGGTTCATTTCGCTGCGGTGACCCCTGATGAATTAAGGGACTAAGCCGAAGGAAAATGAGTATGTATATATAATATCAATATAACAACACATGAATGCTGTTTTTTTTTCTGGCTCAATTTAAAGAGGAGGGTGGTATCCCAATCATGACATTTTTGCTTTTTGAAACAAATACATTGCGCTATTCTTGTAATCTTATCAAGTAAAACATTATCTTAATTAAAATGCGAACACTAAATGTAATTAAATACATGACCTGCAGTGCTTGAGCATCACATGTTATCTGAAGTTTTTGTCAAAAGGCAGAGGTGATAATACATTTGATGGAGGTGGCCACCAGGAAAAACCCTCTATAAATGTATATGTATATCATTATCAATATATAATTGATTGTAAATGTCATTTCACATTGGTTATAAGACAAAACCCTTGTTGTTAATTATATCGATGGTCATTAAGTGCATTGCATCCAAAAACTTGTTGCACGTTTGCTGCAGTCATGCACTTAATGTATAAGAGATTGAATGTGATTCAATTCCTCAGTATATTCACATGCATGTTCTTCTTCATGCTTTGATTATAATTAAACAATCATAATAAAGCATCAAATGGTGGTCCAAACTGCTGGAATCAACATTTAATATGGAACTTTCCTCTCCATAGCAAAATAAACACAAACACACACACAAACAAAAAGAAAAAAAAAACTTGGTAAAATACACAGTGAATGAAACATGAGTGCACAAGTCTCATATCGATAGATAGAGTATTTAAAATTACACTTTTAGGATGGTTTATTATAACATTGATTTGACACTACAGACTAAATGTACTGTACATATCTTTATCATTTGAATGAATCCCCTCCTTTCTCTTTCGACTTTTGTTACATTTGTCAACAGAAATGAGGCATTCAGAAGAGCACCTAAACTTTTCCCAGTAAAAATTGTCTCAAATTCTAAACGTAAAAACCAGTCCATGTGCTTTCATAGACAACCTTGGGAATCCAGGTTTCATTAGAAGTTTTGTTAACAACTGTTCACACTTTAATGCATGAAACATCTTACATATGTCTTCTTTAACAGTTAGTTGTGTATTCTGGCAAAAATAGACACATTTCACACTCCCACACAGCTATTCTGTCCAGATCTGATTGCAAAACAGCACTTGACACTCAGCCATTGCAGGTGCAATGAATTCTGGGAGGGATTCCAGCACCAACAGGGATGGAGAATGTCACAGGTGAAAAGTCCAAGATTCAGCAAAAGGAGACGATTTGCAAAAGATGAGATCAGCAAAGATGAGTCCGAATTCCTTCGCCTGCTTATTTGTACTTGCATAGAAAGTGATTTGGCCTTTCTTTGTCTTGATGATTGACCTGTAAAAAAACAAAATGTCCATGAGCAGATGACACAAAGTGAATTGCGTGTCATGTCAAAGCACAGGGTTTGAATTATTCAGGCTTATATAATGAATGTGCTGTGTTTACCTCACTATACAGCTTTTCTTTACATGCGTGAAATGCTTTAAAGTGTGTTTCTGCTCCACTCCAGTGACCCATCATCTCATTGGCGTGCTCCGGCCCGTGACAATCATGTAATATTAAAAAGTTCACTGTCGTCTTTTACAGTCTATCATTCTTTTTTCTCTCTCTGTTTCAGCATGCCCTTCGGGTTTCTTCAAGACTGCACAAGGTGACGAGAAATGTCTGCAGTGTCCAATCAACAGCCGTACAACCAACGATGGAGCCACCAACTGCGTCTGCCGAAATGGATATTACCGCACAGACTCTGACCCGCTAGAGATGCCCTGCACAAGTGCGTCCTCTCTGCTTTATCTATACATTTATACGGCAAGCATTAAATTTTCATAACACCACTGATTTTAGTTAGGGTTAGTTTACAATAGACATAAAAAGGCATTCGATGAGTAAGAGCAGTTTGAGAGCAAAAAACTGACAAATATCTTGAAATACATCTCTCTCTTGGTGTCGTAACCATGGTATAAGCTGAAAAATTGACTAGTTAATTCTAGACTGTTGAGTTGTTAGAAAATAATGCACAGTCGAGGTAGTGATAAGTAAAATTGTTTAAATGTTTATATAAATAAATATAGAAAAGATTATTTGTTTTTAAGTTAAATAAAATGATCTATATATATATATATATATATATATATATATATATATATATATATATATATATATATAAGTCATTTCAACTTACATTAAATTAAAGTGAATCTAAAATAAAAAAAATCTTTTTTTTTAAAATAAGATGAAATATGGTTAACCTAATTTTGTTAATTTAAAAAATACCTATGTTGATATGATTTTATCAAAATTTAGATAAAATGTCATAGATAAACATCAATTTGGTAATAGACTGCAACATATACCTAGCATATAAAATGTGCTGTGAAATTATTGTAGTTATTGTGTAAGCTAAGTTATTTTATTCAAATGGATGCAATTAAAAATCTAAACAATCAAAACAAAATAGGGACAACACAGTGGCTCAGTGGTTAGCACTGTTGCCTCACAGCAAGAACATCAATGGTTCAAGTCCTGTCTAGGTCAGTTGGCATTTCTATGTAGAGTTTGCTTGTTCTTTCTCCCTGTGTTCATGTGCATTTCCTCCGGGTGCTCCAGTTTCCTCCACAGTCCAAAAATTGGCCGTAGTGTTTGAGTGTGTGTGAATGAGTGTATGGCTGATTCCCAGTACTGGGTTGTAGATGGAAGGGCATCTGCTGTGTATAGTTGGCGGTTTATTCCGCTGTGGAGCTGTGGAGCACAGAGCACGGATCCCTGATAAAAAAGGAACTAAGGGTGTACTCACACTAGAATATCCGACCCGTGCCCAGGCACGTTTGACCCCTATTACCCGGTTCGTTTGACAACCGTGAGTGCTCCGAATCATGCCCAGGTTCAGTTTTCCAGCCCTGGCCTGGTTGGAAGAGGTGTGCCAGAGCATGGATCAGTTGGGCTCAGATGCATCGTCACCTTTAAGCGACTGTTTTTTATGGATTTTTTAATAATTTTTACTTTTCAATGAACACAAACTGTCATAGTTAGTTAAACACAACCCCTGAAAGCTGCCCCCTTCAGCAAACATCTTTATACATGCAGAACAATAACTTTCATAAACATTTATGAGCATCAAAAGTGGTGGATCTGTTCAGCAAAATATTTGACTGTGCGTCACTGCATATCCAACGACTTAAAATAATAAAAAATCTAAATAAAGCAATCTCCATTGTACGTAGCGAGAGCGCAAACTGAATAGTCTCATCATTGATGACATAAGCGTGCTTTGGGCTCAGAAAGAAAAAAAATACAGTGTTAGTGCAGGCAGAGGGGGAGTGGGGAGGAGGGACAATTGCGCCTGGGAATTGTTTAAGACAACCGTGCCTAGTGTGAGTACACCCTAAGCTGAAGGATAATTAGTGAATCAATGAATTTAAAGAATACAGCTTGATTTTACATAAACTAAAATGTGTATTTTTCTAACCAAACAATAACTACATTTTTACCATGATTTACAGAAAACAACCGCCAATATGTTATTAGTGTAACAATAGTTTATATAAATAAATAAATAAATAAATAAATAAATAAATAAAATATGGTTAGGCTTATATCCAACAATAATCATTTGGTTACATTTTAAAACACTCTTTGCTTCTATTAAATATCTATGTAAAATCACTTTTTGTGAATTTATTTGAGCTTGAAAACATGCGAGATTAAGTTCAGAAAGTTTGATTGTTTCCAGACCTCTAGCTAATTTTCATATTCATAATCCCGACAGTATAACTAACAGCACACCTCACGTCCACCACAAACAAACAGCAGCTTTTACTCTGCACTCCCACTGACTTGAGATCAGACAGACAACGAGGCCCTATTATCGAAACAGATGAGGCCATGGAGTTGGAGAAATAGAGGCTGACAGCTTCTTATGCAGTTGTGAGCGGCATGTTTTTGTCTCTTTTTGAAAGAGGCGAGTTGGGGGCAGAGAAGAAGGAGAAAGAAACGAGACAGGTTTTTTTTAAACTTTTTTTTTTACAAAAGCCATTTGCAAAAGCCTGGCCCTGGGAGGAGAGCAGCTGTTGTGAATAAGAGAGCAGCATCGTGTCGCAGACTTGAAGCTCAGTGGGCCTTGGCTTGATTAAAGAGAGGAAACGGCAGCCTTTACCGCCCACTAACCTGGGAATGGGACGTTTAGGAACAGTTTTGCGTGCGACAGAGCTGTAGCTTCAAGACAGAGATGCTGCTTAATGGCTCACAATTGTAAATAAGTAATCAATTGGAGGCTTTCTTATTTTAAGAGGCTTTTTTAAAAGGGCAAAAGGCAGTGGGTTGTTTCTTGATTACCTCACTTGCCCCCAGAGGAGCACCAGCAGTAATTGGGAGCACATGCCGGCTGAAGATAAACATTGGGTATTGTTGGCTTTGGTCGGGCTGTCAGTCAGAACAGATCTCGGAGGTGCGTTTGTTTGGTGCGCTCTTACTCTTCTTCAGACGCACTGTGCGTGTGCATGAGCAAACACAAATGATGTTTACAAACACTCAAGGACAGTGCGGAGGAAACCGTTTCACTGGATTTAAATACGCGTGTGATTTCGGTGATGTTATCAGGATTTTAATTTGCATGATAAAAATATCAAATATCAAATCAGACATCATAAAGAGAGTTTCATTGAATTATTTAGTTCAACCCTCTGAAATTAAAATTTGAGTTCTGATTTTATTTAGTTTAGGGTTAGTTTTTGTTGTGTGTTTTTTGTTTTGTTTTCTTTTGTTTTGTTTTTTTTCTTTTGTTTTGGTTTTGGTTTATTTATTTATTTTTATTATTTTTATTTAATGTTATTAATATTTTTTAAATTTTATCTTATTGGTTTAGTTTATTTTAGTTTTTTGTTTTGTGTTTTGTTATTATATTTAGTTTTATCAATATTTTTATTTTTTGTTAGTTTAGTTAAGTTATTTTAGTATTTTCTTTAAGTTATGTTTTGTTTTGTTTTGACTTTTTTTTGGTTTGGTTTGTTTTTGTTTTATTTATTTTATTTTTTTTATTAATTTATTATTACATTTTATTTTTATTATTATAGTTTTTAATTATATTTTTTTAGTTTTTTGTTTTTGTTTGTTTTGTTTTGGTTTGGTTTTATTTATTTTTAGCATTATTTTTTTATTTTTTTATTTATTTATTTTTTTGCTAATCATGCTAAATGCTTTTGCCTTCTATTTTAATGAACTACAACTTAATAAAAAATAAATTAAAAGTTCATATGCAAAAACCTCTAACTGATGTCTGAAATCTTCTTCTATAAATAGCATTTTCATCAGGCTGCTGTGTGTAGATTCAGCAATTTAATTTTTATGGCAAAGAATACGTTCTTTCCATGGTCTTCAAAGTGAAAGAACTCAACATAAACAAAGGAGGCTGAGAATAATGCTCATTTTCTATGGAAATTTCAGATGGTACCTAGAGGTAGTCTTCAAATAATTATTATAAATCTATAAAACTATATACAGACATAAATACTTATAGGGTCACCATTGTGATTCAAGATTAGGTAAAAGGATTAAAAAGTTTGTGCAGTTGATTAATGATGTGCTCACTTTATACATTGTGTTGATTTAGAACCGAAAAGTGACATACCGGAACTTTAAATTCAGAATTGTATTTATTTTTATAATAATCTTATTTTTCCCTTTGTCTTTCCAGCTGTGCCGTCAGCCCCTCAAAATGTCATCTCCAGTGTGAACGAGACATCTCTGATGCTGGAGTGGAATCCTCCGCGAGAGACTGGTGGTCGTGATGACGTGGTCTACAACATCATCTGCAAGAGCTGTGGAGGAGGCAGAGGAGGCTGCACGCGCTGTGGAGACAACGTGCAGTTCATTCCTAGACAGCTAGGGCTCACAGAGAGCCGGGTCTTTATAAGTGACCTGCTAGCCCACACCCAGTACACCTTTGAAATCCAGGCTGTGAATGGAGTGTCAGACCAGAGTCCCTATTCACCTCAGTATACGTCTGTCAACATCACTACTAACCAGGCTGGTAAGTCCAGACCTTCATTTTATTTTTTGGGGGCTACCAGCTGGATGATTTGGTACAGTTTAAAGAATTTAATTTAATTTATTTTATATAATTAATTTTTTTATTTATGTATTTCATTTTCGCTTGAATTATTATTATTATTATTTTTTTATATTTAATTTGATGTATTTTTTATTTTATTATTTATTTTATTTTAGTTAGAAGAATTTAATTTAATTTTCTATTTTTTAATTTAATTTTATATTTTTTTATTAATATTTATCTATTTTACTTAGAAGATTTTTTATTTACTTTTATTTAATTAATTTTAATTTTGTATTTAATTTTATATATTTTAAATTATTTATTTATTGTAGTTAGAATACTTTTTATTCTCTTTTATTTTTATTTTATTTTATTGAAATATATTTAATTTTGTTTTGTATTTTATTTTATTTATTTTATTATTTATTTATTTTAGCCCTTTATTATTTTTTATTAGCTCAGGATTCAGACTTGCATTTTTTATTTATTTTTTAATTACATAGCATCTGTAATTGCATTTATTTTCATGTCTTTTCCGTTGTAAGATTCTGAAACCAGACCAATAATATTTAAGCCTTCGCTAAGAATGATTATAGTTGATCATATTAACCACAGACTGGTTATTTAGAAAATGTCATCTCTACCGCATATTAACCTTTATGTTTTCACTGTTTATCTGCACTCCATCATTTGACGGTCAGCAGATCTAAACTCACTATGCATAATACAGAGTCAAACAAAGCTCCAAATAAACTCGCTTTGTTACCTCCAGATTACATCCTGATTACACTCTCTGGCTCACATCCCATCATGTCACTGTGAGATTAGACATAATTCCCAGAAAGTCAACGTGATGCATGTTGAATTGGACCCAAACCATAGTGGGACAGATTATCCGGAGCCTAGGATCTTTCCAGCCAATGATGACTTTTAATGAAAAACAGCTTCTTTGCTACTGATTAGACAAACCTTTTTTCCTCCTCCTGAAGCAACCAGCGTGGCTGGGAGACACAGTACAATCAGACGCTGCCATTTTTTTTTCCACTCATGCCATTGTGGTTTAGATTACTGTGTTCCAATTATTTCAGAAGGGCTGCAGCATTGATTTGTACTTTAAGTGTCTGTATGAAATGTGTGGTTGATCGTGCCAGATCAGTACTCGGAGCTCTTAGGGGCTCAAACAGAGACAGCCATTATTTTACGTTCCTCATTCCTGCTGCTTACAGACAGATCATCAAACCCATCCTGCTTTTGCCCAGTAAAGCTACGTTAATTGGCTGTGACACATCGCTTACTATAACCTTCAACAGTTCTCCAACATTTGCATACCTCAGAAGAGCTTTTAGCTGTCCTCTTGTGCAAAAAACAAAACATGCTGGGAGAGATGTATCTTTTGCATCCTGGGTGTGTTTACAGCTCCAACTACAAAATACACTCTCAAACTATTCCTGCATTCAAACAGTCAGCTGCAGAAATCCAGTTAGCACAGAAATGCGAGACAATGAGTTAAATATTGGCACTGAAACTGGAGTTGAAAAACATCCATGTGCACAGCAGGTCTTAGAAGCGGCGATGGGCGGATTCAGACTCGTTCTCATAAACTGAAAGGGGGATCCTGTAAAGACTTCAACTCTTTACATTCAGTCTCTCAACAGTTACACTAAGTGCACTTGAGACATTTAGGGGACTTGTGAACGTATGTGAAACTGCCACGGGAGCTGAATGATGAGGCTTTCAATGTTTCTTTCAATGAGAAATGACTGATCGGTTGAAAACATAAGGATTGTTAGATTCACTTCATCTGACTCAGCTGAACAGCATCTTCGAAAAGAAAGCCAACATTTTTTTCCCCCAAAGCTTTATAAGTCCACTTATTCTCCTTGGAGAACTGCCGATATTTAGTCCCCAATCCTTGCATTTATGTTGCATTACTGCTCATGAAAGCATACTAGGACTGCAATTAAAGCATAAGTCTTTGTTAAATATTTAGTTATTTGTCATTTAATTTTTTAAACACATTATGTACATTTGCACTCGCCGGCCACTTTATTAGGTCCAGACAGCGTACCTTACTAGTACTGGATTTTACCCTTTTTGCCTTCAGAACTGCCTTAATTCTTCGTGGCATAGATTTAAGAAGGTACTAGAAATATTCCTCAAAGATTTTGGTATATATTGACATGATAGCATCATGCAGTTGCTTCAGATTTGTCGGCTGAACATTCATGATGTGAAATACCCGCTCCACCACATCCCAAAGGTGCTCTATTGGATTGAGATCTGGTGATTGTGGAGGCCATTTGAGTACAGTGAACTCATTGTCACGTTTAAGAAACCAGTCTGAGATTATTTGCGCTTTGATATAGTGTTATCCTGCTGGAAGTAGCCATCAGAAGATGGATACACTGTGGTCATAAAGAGATTGACATGGTCAGCAACAATACTCATGTAGGCCGTGGCATTGACACGATGCTCGATTTGTACTAATGGGCCCAAAGTGTGCCAAGAAAATATCATCCGAATGTCACAGCCTGTCTAAGCTGACAGGAGTGGCACCCGGTGTAGTCTTCTGCTGCTGTAGCTCATCTGTCTTAGGGTTGATCTTAAGGTCTATCAGCTTGAACCAGTCCATTCTCCACTGACCTCTGGCATCAACAAGGCATTTGCGCCCACAGAACTTCCACTCACTGGATATTTTCTTTTTCGGATCATTCTCTGTAAACCCTAGAGGTGGTTATGTGAGAAAATTCCAGTAGATCAGCAGTTTCTTAAATTTTTTCAAGAACCATGCCACATTCAAAGTCACTTAAATAACCTTTTTTCCCCATTCTGATGCTTGGTTTCATCTACAGCAGATTGTCTACATGCCTAAATAAACTGAGTTGCTGCCATGTGATTGGCTGATTTGAAATTTTCATTAACAAGCAGTTGTACCTTATAAAGTGGCCGGTCAGTGTATATAAACCTTTTCTTAATATCGAAACAGCTTTTTTTTTTGGGGTTCATTTTCATTTTCACTTTCTGAGATAAAACTAAGGACTGTTATAAAGTGATTTAAAGAACTATTTGTCTTGCATATGATGTGAGAAGCAGATTTAGGTGGTGTACTTTGGTGCTTGCAAAATGGGTGAGCCAGATTTCTAAACTCCAATTAGTCACTGATGTGTAAATATGGGTGGTTATGTTTTGCAATTTGGTCGTCTTTACAGTAAAGTACTCCATTTGGATTGATGTTTTATTGCTTCATAGAACAGGCAACTCAGAACTTGAGTATCATTTATTATATCTTTTCATTTTTAGCACTTAAAATAAAAGTTTTATATGTGTTTTAAATTGACCCAGAATAGTTCTGATAGTAATATCTTATCTCAGATCCTGGAATAAAAAATGCACTTTTGCTCATAGTTAGTTATTGATCTTCTGGATAAAACTGGTTAAAACCTAAATCACAGTTACTGTCAGTTGTATATATGAGAAATGATTGCAAATAAATAATATATGCAACACATGAGCCTTGTGAGATAAACCAGTGGAATATTCCAGATAGGAAAACACTCATAGCACATGTATACATATTCATCAAACATCGCTTTCAGCAATTCAGATTATGTTTGGATACTGAGAGTATATCACTGCCCGGGTTTCTTTCTTTTTACCCCTGAATAATGGACCATAGAGCTTTTCTCTAGGATAGATAGGGTTAATATGTAAATGTGGGCTTTGATGCATTCAAATGTGAAAATAGTAAGTTTACAATAATGCTAGAGTAGTTTTAAAAAAATGCAGTAATTATGATTCAATAAATGGGTCGTGTGAAGCTTTTTTGAAATGTTAAAGTAAGTGAAAGTACATAGAATGATTCTGTTTAAAAAGAGCACTGAAAATCCAATTTTCCATGATATGGCTCCTTTAATACCTCTCACATAATGAATTGCTATTGCTTTTATATACGTTTTTATAGAAAGATTGTTCTCCATATGTTTTCACTCTGCATTGCCCTGCTCTAACCCGTACTTTCTTGGTTTTGGGGTTCCTCCCCACTGTTGGGACGTTCTACCCCCGCTCCGCCTGTCACTTTGGATTAGCAGCCCCGGACCTCCATCAGGGGGAGCTGTGAAAGTACTCACTCCGGCTCCCTGTTAGCAGCCCAGGCCCCCTGGGACAGGCCACTAGGACTGAGGGGCCTGGGTCAGGCTGTCCGGGCCTTTAATTTCGTCTGGATTGGAGGGCTTTGGGGTTACATAAACATCTTGTCACCCCTCATTAGCAAAGGCGGCTTCGAGCTTCCCCCTTCTACGTTTTGTGCTCGCACTAGTTTGTGTGTCCAAGTTTTTGTCCGTGTCCATGTGCGGGCCTTAATTAGACACGTTTTTAAGCCTGGCTGCTCAAGAGGGGAGGTACGTTCTGCTAAAGAAACAAATAAATAAGAAAACTAGAAGTGATTAGCGTGAAACCGTTTTGTTTTCTCATGCAATAGGCCTTGGGCTCTGAAATACACGGTAGGTTTCAGTTGAAATTCCTGTTTTTTGTTTTCATGCATGCTTTCAGGAAGTTTTCTACACAGCTGCCAGTAACATCTTCTCCACACTGTCCATCATGATCTCGCACACAATACAGTCGAAGCTCCGTTTGAATGGCTGAAAGAACAGCAAAGGGAGCAAAACTCTCTGAGCACCAGTTTATACACTGGACAGTCTTTAAAACCCGAGTTATACTTATGTGCGATACATCATGGGCTTAAACTGTCCTCGTGCACACTTATTAAGGGATGAACAATTCATAAACACTGCTATTATGGGGAGAGTGTTATGATCTTGGCCTTGGAGAGTTCTTTTCCAGATCTTGATGAATTATGACCAGGCTGCCCACTAACTATCAGGTTGGTGTTGTTTTCTGCATTGACCCAGAATGCAGTAGTGAGTAAAGCTGAAAAAAGCTGCTATAGTTCACTTTTCTTGGTGCCCATTTTTCATTGG